GTTTTAGGGGTGGACTGTAGTCCGCGTTTCACGGCCCAAGGTGACGGAGTTTGATGGAGACTGGACCTTCTGCGCCTCTTCCCCCGGCCGCAGCTTTGTCAGTGATGCGTTACGTCCGTTTATCTTCTCCCTCCCCTTTCCCCTCCATTTATTGTGCTTCTTCTCCCCCACTCCTTTCAAATTTCTCCTCGCCGCTAACGAAAATATTATTCACTCTTCTAAAATATCTCTTAATTAATTCTTTTTCATACATTTTTGGCCGAAACAGTTGATCTATGCTCGAGTGGTATGGTCGAAGATTTTAATTAATGTAATATTTTAATTTTTTTTATAATTTCAATATTGTCCATGTAATTGAGAAAAATACTCCATCTTTGAAAGTTAACATGTTTAAAGAAAATATCTTTTTTTACATCATCTTTCTTAGCTGTCAAAATTAGTCTTATCAGTAAGAAGTCAATTATTTTTCTATTATTAATATAGTTAATATTAAAATTAACTATTAATATTTTGCTGTAGAAGTGGTCCAAACAAAAAAAAAATGTAAAATGGGGTTTTTTGTTTTTTGTGTTGGTTTTATAGTCGCGTCAAAAAAAGTTCTCAAGTCCCATCATATTTTTCTGATTTGATATGTAAACGGGGTAAAGAGGTGAGGTTTTGATAAACAAAATGGAGAGAAAAGAAAGGGGTTTAGAAAAAAGAAAAAAGAAGAAAGTAGAATGGTGGTATCTACGAAAATAGTAACAATAAAAAAGAAGAGAGAAGGGATTTGGATTTGATGTTTCGATTTCAAAGCTGCCGTGAAATTGAGGGGGATCCTCTCCCTCCACCATCAGTTTCAGTCTGCAAAAGCCGACCTCCACTGAACCATTACGAGATCGAAAAGATTTCCTGCAATCTCGAAAGGGACACTCACATCACGCCGGAACATCGCCGGCGACGGCGGCCAACGGAACCGGCCCTTTTCACTTTTTCTTTCCCTTTTTTAATTTTCTTTTTATAATTGCTGTTTTATCTCTTTAATCGTGGAGCCGTCTTAGCTCAGCTGGTAGAGCGCGTGGCTTTTAACCACGTGGTCGTGGGTTCGATTCCCACAGACGGCGTTTTTTTTTTAATTTTAAATTGAGTTTGTATTTTGTTACCTTTTTATGACCGCTAGTGTAGACGAGGCCCACCTTAAGTTCGGGTTTCCTTTGGACACGTGGAGTTCTTAGGGGATGTTTGGGTTTTTGAAGCCTAGGACTAGGAGTGTCCGTCCCCGTCCATTGCCACGAATTTTTCGATCGGATTCGGTGGCCACGACTAATTATGATCTATTTGGTTGAAAGCTTTGAATTCTTTTTCTTCGACCCTTAGGTTCATTTCCAATGGATTTAGTAAATATAGAAATTCTAAATTTTTACGAATTACATTAAAAAAAAAATAAAAACTTTGATAAATATATTATTTCATATTATAAACTCATTTTATATTTATTAAAATTAAAAAGAGGTAAAATATGACATATTCTAAATTATACAACCTTGTAAAATAATAATTATACAAAATTTCTAAAAAAATGTTAATAAATTAACTAACATAAGTTTAAATTAAACTAAAATACTACCGACCAAATGCATCTTTATTTTTTCTTTTAGTTTCGACCGTTTAATGATATTTTTTTTCAAAGGAATTCTTCATTGAAACTTTATCACACTGAAATCCTAAAACGTAAACATCACAATAATATTTCGTGAACCAATCAATAATATTGGATAAATTTTACATTCAAATATTTTGATTTATGAAAAATTCGTTTGGGTCACGGGAAAATTTTCTCCACCCTATCTCGAAATGCTTAAACAAGAATTTTTCAGCCTATTTGAGATGGGTCCCCGCAAGAAGTAAAAGCTACATTTCAAAATTTTGTTCTTTTGGAATTAACGAAATGGCCAATAGTTTAAATTCAATTGGAGATTTTCCATTACTTACGTTTTTCCAAAGCTAGTTATTTGTTGAGAGAGAGAAAAAATATTAACTTATTAGTAGACCCATATTGCTTTAAAAATGATATTAATTTTTTTTTTTAATGTTTATACTCACCTTCTATTGTCCACCATTAACTTGTGAGAGATAAGAAATATAGAAAAGATTTATATTTTTTCAAAAAATAAGATCCTCTTAAAATTTTAGTGATCATAAAGATAGATATTGACTATTATCTGCTAAATGATCACCCACCAATCTTCTACTCGTCACAAGTGTAATAGTGATCGATGTAAAGTTATGTTTAATATATTTCACACTATTCGCATAAAAATAATATTATCATAAATGATCATAGATATCTTTTATGGTGGTATAAGAGTACTAGTTAAGTTAACTTATTTTTTTATCGATAGGTAATCGATGGAATTACAAATGCGCGACAGTCACTCATGCCAATTGTTTCTCCTTTTTTAAAGATTCTCAAAATGATAGAGAAATTTATGAAGCAACGAAAACAAGACAAAACTTGATAAAATTACTAAAATGGTGTAATTTATATTTATGTAGCTGAGAGTTTCAGGGAGAAATACAAATTGTACAGAGGCAATATTTCAAAGGGAAGGGAAGGGAAGGGAAGGGAAGGGAAGGGATGATGATGATGATATTATTTGAATGAGTTGCAGAGGGCAGAACACAAACTTTGTATCTGAGAACTTGAGGCATTTGGGAGAATATAGGTCCCGGATTTGGCGTTGGTGGAGCACGTGACATTCAGCTGGTTACCCACTTGCTGAGACTGAAACCCAAACATGGAAAAAAACTCAGATTCAATGTTTTATGGCCTCCAACTAAGCTTTCATCCAGTACAATGATAGGCCATTACAAACTCAAGTCATGTAAAAGTGCAATCAATGTTCTGCTTCTGCCATGACTGTCATGAGGGTGTGTATATCTAATGCATAGCTTTTCTTTTTCTCCTCTTTTTTACCTTATGCCTAAGGTTGGTAACACTATCACTCCGGTTCGAGATTCCGTTCAACTTTAAATTATAATTTCGTCACGAAGGATGGTGTGTTTATTAAGTTCATGTACTTCAGAGAGTTTCTAATAGATTCCAATATAGGCCATGTCGTAATAAAAATATTAAACCTGAGAGAGTTAATAACAAGGATAGTTTAAAAACTTATTAAAAACTAGAGGCTTTTAAAGTACTGAGAACATACAGATATAATCTTTGAAATTCAAAGACTTATTATGAACTTTTTAAAGTATAAATGACTCCAAATGCATAAGGTTAGGAATCTGTTTCTAAAAGTTGAAGCTTATTTGCTCATGGGCTTTAATTTTTTTCCTTTTTCCACATATTTTTTTTAACATTGAATTCTTAACCAGATTTTAAAATTAAAAAAATTCTAAACTTTTGATTATGGGTTTCTTAAACCATGCTATAAATTTAAAAATATTTTAAGCAGTACATAATGAAGTAAAGAAACTGTGAGTAGAAGCAGAAGGAATGGTTACCAAGCAGTATGCAGGGTCTGAATTACAGCTCCATTTAGAAGTAGGAATGCAAGACAAATAATGACACCAAGAGCAATGACGGTTCGCATCAAATCCTCTAAGAAGTAAAACCAGGCCAACTGTGAACCTGAAAAATACCATCTCACATCAGTTTCGAACAGCTCAATTTCTCGTTTCTTGTTCTTTCTGTTTTATTAAAAAAAAATAATAATTGTACTTGGTAACTGTTTGTTGTTATCTATCTATTTATTTATTTTTCGAATAAGAAAGAAGCTTGATTTTGTTGTAAATGGAAAATAAGAAATGAGAAATTTGGATCCATTAGTTAGCTCGCTTCTTGTTTCCATTTTTTTAAATAAAGATTAATAGAATTGTATAACCCCAAAATTCATGGATTCAAAAATGATAAAACTATATGTTTATTTATCTTTTGGAATAAATTGGAAACGAGAACCAGAGATAAAAAAAAACTTGTTTTTATTGTTTCCAAAATTTCTATAAGAATGTCAAAGCGAGCATACATCTCCAACTAAAAAGTTGTGAATTTGATCATCCACCTCCACATGTTGTATTCAATAATAAACAATGAACATGAATAGTTGTGAATATAATTTTTGGAAAGTTTAAAAAAAATGAAAACTAGAAACAAAAAATAAGAAATAAGTAAAAACTAGTGCATGTTTCGAAAGTAGGCCAAGAAGATAGATAGATATCATCAATACCACATCTTGGAAAGAGAGAATCTTTTAATCTCGTGATCACTGCAGTGACTTTGGAAGGAATAAAGTGTTGAGATCACATATAGTTGAGGTCTATTTCCCCACCCAATTGCCAAACATTTCAGAAATGCAGTGAAGTTTTTAGGCAAACAAAATTGACAAACACCCTAAAGTAAACTAACAACTTTCCCAGCACTCCATGGCTACAAAGGAAGACCCTTTCTATGCAATACTACCCATACCCATGTCATGATTTAAATGAATAAATGATACCCACGACTTACAACCATATGCACCACTACCATCCTCCTTTGATAGTTACCAAAACACGCGTTTTGTGACATCTTCACAATCATATAATATTGTATACTCTAGGTATAATCTATCGTACTCTCGCCTTAAGTTTTACCTAAAAGATATTGTATCAGTGAAGATGTTGTCTTTTGGGTTAATAGAGCCAAAATAGGAAGAAAGAATTGCAGGACACACGGCCTGGGAGGTTTGATGCTGCAGCACCTAGGCATCATCTCTAGTGCCATGGTGCTATGAACCCAAAAGAAGCATTACAGCAGGCGAGTTGTCGAGAAGGCAGTGCCTAGGTGCTGGCCATAGCGTCGCGATGCCGTGGCGCTACGACTCTGATTTCGTCCATTATTTTTTTTTCGTGGGTCACCTTTTTTTTGTTTAGGCTTTATATTAAGCTTGGGGCTTATATAAATAAGCCCTGCTCGACCAAAATAATGGGGTTGGGAGTTTTTCCCGCTGAAACTAGCTTTTCGTCTAAAAAATAACCTATTCCGATGAAACATCGGGTAAATAACCCAGCCCGACGAAACTAAATATTTACAACGAAAACTTTTCTCTAGGTATTTTAGGTTTTTTCCAAGAAAAACCTCAATTCTCGTAGTGATATCTTGAGGGAGATATCAATCTAATATTCTCGTAGAGCTTACTTCTTTTTTGTTATTGTTATATACTTCGGGAAAAAATAAATAGTTTTTATTATGAAATTAAAAATATCTATTAATTCATATTTTTTTCCATCATACTTATATACCATGATCTTTCGACATGGTTTCTTATAATCCCAACAAAATTGGCAAAACGCAGCAGAAATGTAGAGTGAATTACTTACCCGGCAATCAAAAGGATTAAGGAAATAATCCACAATATGCATTGATATATGTTGAATTTATGTTGAACAGAGACGGTAGGATTTGATAGAGAACCATATCTCTGGCTTCGGCTAACCCATCCAAACTGCGGGCGAACAAGAAACACAAACCCCAGAAGAAACCCAGAAACAAATCCTCCAATATGAGCAAAATTGTCAACACGAGGAAGAATTCCCACTGCCAAATTGATCGCAATAATGACCAACAGAGTAAAAAAAGCTGCTACCTGAAGGCTCAACAAACAGACCACAGAATGCAGCCAAGATAAGAGTCATGGTTCGTCTGAAAATTGCAATAGAAATGAAGTTTGAAGAGTACGTGCCTTGTTAGAATATATGGTCCAGTTAGTGATGAGTTCAGAGAGCATTCCTCCGAGTAACCCAAACAGAGCACCAGAAGCCCCAACAGAGATGTTTGATTGGTTGAATAGAGCTGACAACACACTCCCGCCAAATCCCGATACAACGTAGAGCAAGCCGATCCGAACTGTAACGAGTCCGAACAAGAATTATTGAATAAACTGTTGTTAACGATGAACCACCATTTAACTTAAAAACATAAAGATGGAATCACCGCACAAGACTCAACAAGTGAAAATCACTTTATACTTATGGAGATAATTGTCATCTCCTATATACTATGTATCACCCTTACCATAGTCATAAAAATGTAGGAGTTCCAACATAGAGCTTCGAGTTCTGATACCATATCAATATTTATRAGTTACATTTTAAAACCAATTGATAACGGCAGGAATAGAACATGTTTATTATAAATCTTTGTAAGGTCAGTTTCCTTTCTAATATGAGCTCGGTTTTGACCAAATTCGATTTCGATATGAATAAAACCACCAATCCAAAACTTAAGCGCGTAGATTTGGTAAATTTAATTGATGCATTACACGATGTAGAGAACAACAAACAGAACTCCAAATACGTACTAAATCCGAATTCTTGCTCAAGACGAATTCCAATGACCAAGAGACCCAGCATATTCGCCAACAAATGAAAGACACCGGCATGTAACCAATTGCAGGTGACGAGACGCCACACTTGGTCTCCGTGAACCACTTTATTTACTTCTAGCGCACCCATTTTCTGTAGCCTGAACCACAAGCAAGAACTGGTTTAGCCGGTGACCCAGAAAATTTATCAATCAACGATGCAAAGAACTCACGTTGAAGATGAAGGTCCAAGCAGAGGATTTTCTTTCAGGGGCTGGAAAGAGAATCTGCCCAAGAATCGCGCAACGCAAGAGACCGAATTCTTGGGGCAATCGTTGACGTACATGGTGACAATGAACACAACAACATTGGCTACAACAAATGAAGGTATCAACCAGAGGATCCATTTCTTGAATTGCTTGATTTCCCGGCGACCAATTGAGCCTTCCTCCGCCGCCACTGGGTGTACTGCAGTACTGCCTCGCCGGGAATTGATCCTAATTTGAGTATCTGAACGAGGCTCTTGATCCGCCATTGAAGCTCTTCTCAAGTTAAAGAAACAAAATGATAGACAGCAATTGAGCTTACCAAGTCATTATTTGAATTTTGAAGATGTCAGAGTCAAAGGTCACCTACCATGGCCGCTTGGGATACGCAATTTTCTTCAATAAGTTAATTTACAGCATAAAAAACGTTCTTGAAAAAAAAAATTGGGCGGTTGCAGTTGAGCTAGCAACTCCATTTTTCACTTGCTCTCGGAAAAAAAATCTTCCAATGAATTGGTTGACCTACTCTGCAAAGTCGATAACAAACCAAAACCATAAAATAATTAATTAATTTAAAGATGACGAATCATCGAAGACATCGATAAATCTATCATTGGTTTCATGTTAGAAGGATCAATGGCTCATTTGAACTGAACTAGTTGAGCTGAGATAAATAAAGGGGCTCGATTCGAGACTGGGCTTCAGGAATCGGGCTTTTAGGATTTTAATGGGCCAAATTCCAACTCCGCCGCTGGAGGACTTGTAAAAATTTTGTTTATTCAACAATTTGCGTGATATACCCGAAATATATTATTCTAAATAACTTTATATAAAATAGCAACTACGCTTTTATGCTTCGTCTTCTCCTCCCGTGGCTATCCAATCCACTCACCGTCTAGAACATCAACATTTATCGTCATGGTCCGTGCCGTCGCCATCGCAGCTGTAGATTCTACTTGAAAAACCACTCATAAACATCCCACATCATATTTTCCATCGACCGATCCAAAAAAAATCGTTTGGTTCTTGTGAATATTTGACCTCAATCTATTGACCTTGAAAAAGGGCAACTAGAGAAATGGCTATATTTAATAGTTTCATTTGGATAATGGCCAACATAATCAGATATCACGAAAATGGCTAAAAGGTAGTTAGAGTTGAACTACGAGATTTGATGTGGATAAATTTACCCTCCAGTCAAAATAGGTAAATTTATCTCCCCTATAAAATTGTGACGAAAATACCCATCATCAAAATCTTTAGTACACCTAAATTCTAAGAAACAAGATAGTAAATCAAAATTATACCGTTCAAAAATTTTAAATAACATCTAGATTTAGAAATTTAAAAAAATGTAAGATAAAATCTATTGAATGCATACTTTGAAATAAAAAAAAAAAGATTGAATCAAAGTGTAAAATAGACTAAAAAAAACGTAAAATCAAATTAGAAAAGTGGAAAAATAAAAATTGAAGCGGTAAAGTACTGTTTTTAAAAATATAGATGGAGTAGTTGAAGATTAATACTATGTTAGGATCCATTATGGAAGGGAAGACAACTCAAATGACTTCTTCCCACTTTTGCCCTTAACTCCTTCCCACACTTGCCCTAACTCTTCCTTCCTAAAATCAAATAAAATTTGATTCAATCAAGTCTCAAGCCCCTCAGGCCTCGTGCGCCTCAAGCTTTCGGCGTCCCTCTTCGCCATACACAATCTTCGGCATCCATCTTCCCACTCTTGCCAGAACCTAAAGAAACCTCTTCCGGGTAAGCTTTCGGTGTCCCTCTTGGGGTACACATTCTCCTAGCTTCGTGATCTCTGATTCCTCTAGTTAAAATCAAAATCCATTGATTTCAATGGGCGGATAGCTTTAGGCAAAATCCCTTGAAATCAAAAATTGAAATTCTAGGTAATTGTGTGATTTCAATTTTGAAGCTTTAATTGAAATCCTGTGTGATTTCAAATTGGGTACAAAATCCCAATTTTAGATTCTGGCATTCCTTCGGCAAAATCCCTTGAAGCTTTCGGGTACAAAATCCATTGAAATCCTCCATCGAAATCCTCCTTTTGAAATCCTCCAAACTTCGAC